TAAATAAAATAAAATAAAATTAAGTCCGTTGAATAATTAAATAATCAATTGCAAAGTTATCAAGATATATAATACAATTGAAACAAGACTTAAACGAAGAGTTACTTTATCAAGAGATATTTACAAATTTCAGAGCAGCGTATATCAACATTCATCTCCTCAATTTCCAAAAGTTTTAACAGGCGATTTTTAAGTTCACGCTTAAACGGGGTTCTGTTTTTAATACGAAGTTCTTTTGGGATGCTATTCCACAATCTTACACCTATTCTAGCAAAAGAAAATAAAAGTTGGTTAGTTCTAGACGCTTTTAACGTACAGATTAGCCGTTGCTGAGAATCTTGTGAAATGGTGATGAACCTGCTCGGAGTGGATAAAGAGCATAGAAATATTAGACGGGCACGGTGATTATCAATGTCATGCATCAAAGAGGAAACCAAATGAGAATAGAGCATAGTTATTGGTAAGATTCTGGAGTTAACAAATAGCGGGGCACTATGAGATTTGCTATCCGCAAAATACATTAGTCGTAGAGCACGTTTTTGTAAAATGAGAACCTTATTTAAATGAGTGTTAGCAGCTTGTCCCCAGGCAATAAGACCATAAGAGATATAGGGTTCAATTAAGGAGCGGTAGATGTTAAGAAGTGTGGCAAATGGGACAAGATGTCTTAACCTGGCAATTATACCAATTCCTTTACTAACTTTAGATGAGATATAATCAATATGATACTTCCAAGAGAGGTTATTATCTATCAGAATTCCTAGATATTTCACAAAAGTTTTTTGTTCTAGAGATACACTTTTTTTTTAGATCGTTATTATAAATTTTCAAGTGAACTATGTAGTCCAATTTGCGTTGGTAAGGATGGAAAATAACAAAGTTAGATTTACTAGTGTTAAGAGAAAGTTTGTTTGCGTCCAACCAGTCACCCACTTTTGCGAGTTCATCATTAACAACTTTTTCAAGATCCTTAAGATCTTTGTTTGAATAAAAAGCAAGTTAGTATCGTCAGCAAATAGGTAAAACTCAAAAATCTGGGAGCAACGGTAAATGTCGTTAACATAAATCAAAAAGAGAAGGGGCCAAGTACAGACCCTTGAGGGACACCACAAACTATCTCTTCTATATTCGACACGGTTGAACCAATTTGAGTCGACTGGTTCCTGTTCAACAAGTACGAAGAGAACCAGTTATTAATTATTCCTCTGACTCCATAATGATATAATTTGTGCAGTAAGATTGAGTGATCCACCGTATCAAAAGCCTTTTTAGGTCAATAAAAATACCACAAGAGAATAACTTTGCATCAATATTAGTTTGAATTTTGCTTAAGATATCTAAAATTGCATGTTGGGTTGAACACTTGTCTCTAAATCCATATTGAGAAGTAAAAAGATACCGTTTTTTTTTCGCAATGTGATTTAAGACGTTTAGCCATCAATTTCTCAAATAATCGATTGAAGACAGAAAGGAGGGAAATTGGGCGGTAATTACATGGATCAGTTTCGTCTCCCGATTTGTAGATAGGAATTACTTTGGCATGCTTCAAAAGATGGGGATAAATACCCGTTGAGATAGACTTATTCATCATGGCAGCTAAGAGTGGAGAAAGGATATGGCGCCCAGATTTTAAAAGATGAACCGGGCAAGAATATAGGCCATATACTTTATTACTGGGTATAGCCAAGATTTCCAAGTCCACCTCGGATGGAACGACGGGATCAAAAAAAGAAAGACTTAAAGTGATTAGTGCCGACAAGGTAGTCCTGGAAATTTATCCTGAAGGTGATATATTGCGTGCAAGCCAGCGGTCCAATAGACGCAAAGTACTGATTAAAGATATTGGATATTTCAGACGGATTTTGTGTTACTCCAGAGTTGTTAGAGCGTTGAAGGGCTGATACTGTTTTTCTGTTACGCTGTCTGTTCAATAGTTCATTAATCCCCTCCCACGTTTTTTTTAACATTTCTTAGATTTGTAGTGAAGTAAGCTTCATAATACAATCTTTTACTGAGACGAGAAAGAGTAACAATTCTATTCCTATACAGCTTATATTTTGAGATATCTCCTGAATAAAAGAGTCTATTCTTTATTTTGATAGATTTACGTAGGCCCTTAGTTATCCACGGTTTGGAAAATTGTTTAGCCTTGCGCCTAGATAAGATTTTGAGAGGAGCGTGTTTATTAATGAGCTTGTTAAATTTATTGTAAAAAAGAAGAAAAGCATTTGTCTACAGATCCATATGTCATTGAGTTATCCCAATCAGTATCCAAGACATCATTAATAAAGCATTCTTCAGAGAAGTTGGAATAATCGCGAATTTTATGTTTAGCAGTAAAATTTTTTGGTATAAGACTGTGGATAAAACAAAATTGGGAGTAGTGATCACTAATGTCTGACACGATATTTCCACCTGAAATTTTATGATCAAATCTATTCAGAAATATATTATCAATGAGTGTGGCAGAATTATTGTAGACTCTAGTTGGTTTATCAATTACCGGGAAGAACGAATAACATTGTAAAGATAACAAAAATTTTGGGAGTAATCGGAAATTTCAGATTTGAGGAGATCAATATTGAAATCGCCCATAAGATAAACAACTTTATCAGAGGAGCTAAGTTTTTCTAAAGTAAAGTCAACATAATGGAGGAATTGTTCCGGATCATTATGCTGCCTATAAATCACTCCACAAACGATATTTTTACTCTTTAGGGATTCAATTTCGATCCATAAAGCCTGAAAAGCGTCTTTAGATGTTCTCTCCAGAACCTTATATTTCAAACAATTATTAATGTACATTCCAACACCTCCACATGATAGAGGTGTTGGGACATATTCAAACTGATAGTTTGGTATGCAGGCATTGAAATCTAGCCCAGATGAATTTGTAATTTTTGTTTCTGTAATACCGATTACACTGAATTGGTAGTCAAGTTCATCTAAAAGATGGACTTGAAAATTATCAATGTTTTTCCGCAAACTTCTTACGTTAGTATGAAGCATAGAGAAAGGACATTGACTATCTGATTCCAACAAAGACTCTTTAAACATAGAAAAACTATAGGGTGAGAAATATTTACATCTAATTTGTTGCATGCTTAAGTTTCTGTCGGGATTTAATGTTGATTCGGTATTTAAGCGAAACAAATCTAAATCATAAATACTATGAAGTTTGTCTAAGTACTTCTTGGTCGGTAAGTCACTGTTGAGAATGTTATTAAACTGTCCATGAGCTCTAATAATTTCAACATTCGCGTATGGAAGTTCGCTTAGGGTAGATTTAATTGTACAACGAACACGTTTCTTGCTAACACTCATACTTATTATCTAAAACAGACAAACAACTCTACATCAACATGAATACTTAGCCTTCACGTCCATTCGTTAATCGGTGCAGGTCCGTGATATCCTTAATCTTGATGGCTCGAGACGTGGTATCTTTACGAAGATAAACAAGCGATCCCTTCGACCAGCAATACTGATAGTGAAACTGCTCCTTGAACCTCTTAGCTTCAAATAAAACCTTTTGCATCCTTGGCGTTAAATGGTCAAAAATTCTAACAGCGGAAAGGGAGGCATCGTCAGGTAAACCAACAGCAGATGGGGCAACTTTACTTGCATTTCTTTTATGATTCATGACATCATCTTTTGACAATCGTCTAATAAATCGCTTATCTTGGAGCAACTCTCCCCATGAGTGACAAACAGCGTTCTTTCTCCGATCTTCTTGGCAAAGCACTGGTGGGTCCCCCACACATCTGCAAGGAATTCCATGAGGTTGGTTTTGTTCAAACCATTAGCAAGGAACTTTTTCCACTGTTGCGGACAGAGCTGTTGTGGACTTCTAATCTGGAGAGCTAACTTTCCTGATCTCCCCCGCTTCTCACGCTCAATATTTTTTATTGAGACACTTGGGTAATGGTCTGCTACAAAGTCTATCCTCCTTGCTTCTCCTGCTTGCTTGATTACTGCACTGAGGATAACAATGATCAATGAAACGATCTGGTATTCTACGTAGGGTTTGCAGTTGTGCCATGGCATCTACGATGACAGCAGAAGCATTTGTTAGATTTGGAAGGATCTCTACACCATCCTCCAGAAGCTTCGCTAGAACAGACTTGTTTGTCTTAGCCAGTGAGCCATTGTAGGTTGCCAGTGACCAAGGCACAGGTCCTAGTTCGTGAGTGAGGAGATCTCTTAGGTCGATCTGTCGACTCTGTCCGATGACTAGGAGCCTAGCAAAAAGATTTCTATTAGCTTGGAGCACAAAACTCTTCCCCCCTTGATTAACCGTCTTCTTAACCTCTCTGAATTTCCCTAACTTCAGCCTTGGTAGTGTCTCAAAGAACCCTACTGCACTGTTGGTCAGCCGGTCTTGTACAAATGACACTAACGCAGACTTTCCTTTCTCTTCTGCTTTTAGCAGGTCTTCCTTCAAAGCGCTACTTGTGATGGAATCTGAGCTCAGACTTACGAGGTTGTCTGCCGTCTCAAATGGATTCCTACGTTGACTGATCACCTCCATGACCTTCTGCACGTCTTCTTCATCCCTTCTCTTGCAAGCTGAGCCCGACTCCTTATGACCCTTTATTTTGTCCTGAGGATGCGAAGAAGCCATCGATCAACAAAGCTGGCTCTTGCATGCGCAGTTAACATCCACCGCTGCACAGCACCCTTCTTAATGCTAAACCCTATTATGCCACCCTTAGTTTCCGTGTTGCGGTTTAAAGTTTGTTTGATGGTTTGGTCGACTGGAAGCTGCGAAAATCCATGGGAGGTTGTGCGTTGTACACCAAAGTCTACTTGAGACAGCATGCTGTAAGCTTCGGGGTGCGTATCTGGAAGTTCTAACATGTGAACTAAGTACACTGGTAAAAACCGTGTGTAATTGGTGTGGTCATATGCAAAAAACCACGGAAGCACAGCTTTAATGCCCTCCAGGTGAAGCTCCCAATTACCCTCTCTCATGGCCCTGATAAGACTCAGCAGAGTAGCTACCAGTAGGAGTTCCAGAACATCTTCAGGGGACTGTCGTTCTCGTCTTTGCAGTACTGCTCGTAAAGATTAGCTAACTCTTCAAATTCTGGCAAGGACAGGATGACATTAAAATTTTCTGCATTACATTCCTCTCTGACAAGCTGCAATGCACTTACAAGATGTATGTAATTGGTACACTGCCCTTGAGTTACAAGCCATCCCTTGAACTGCTGCCACTGCAGATGATGCAGAGCCTCAAAAACAATCTGAAAAGAAAAACTGCTATTTTTACATATACATGCCTTTATGTGCGCGCATCCTGTGTTACAACTGCATATCTCTTGGTTTTGTCCGTAAATAAAATATCAAATATATTTTACCTTGTGCGTGCGAATAGAGCGATTGTAATGCTTTCCTTGGAGCACACCTGAGACAGAACCAGTGACAACGAGTCCGGCACCGGAGAACCTCTTGCCAATTGCAGCAAGGAAAGCGCAAACTGTATGAAATGTTCCCATCCTAGGAACCACACGCTGAAATTCCTGGGGATTTTGCCATACTATTTCTAAGGCCTTGGCATATATTGCTTGATCAAACACTACCATCACGTCTCTCTGTCCGAGTTGATCTGCCATCTGAAGAGACCTCTGTAATATTGTATAGACTGTCGGCAATTCTGTGGGGCTTGCTTCAATCACTGGACAATACCCAACGCAGCTCTCATGAAGACCCCTCCCTTCTATTATCTTAATATTGAACGCCGTCCAAGCAGATATGACTTGTGGATGCTCTGCAGACAGTGCAAATAATGAATCTTCAAGTGGCTGTTGACACAGTATCCATCCAAAGTCGATTAGGCGAGCTCTCTGTGTGGTTTCTGGTATAGTCTGTATCACTTGGTTGATGTTGATCTGCACAGCAGCAGGTCCCTGTTGGTGACCGGAATGATAAGGAATAACATCGGTGGCAATTTGTGTGACTGTGCGCTTCTTAGGATGCACTTCTTCAACTTGAATGTCTGGTGGTGGAGCACAGGTAAGCGGTATTCGTTGGACAACAATACCATTAGTGCAGTGTGTTGTTCCCTTGCCTATTAGGAAACGGATACGAAAGTCTTACATTAGGAACAAAATAGTTCCTGTTTTATAAAATATAAATAGACGATTGTACGTGCGCTACAAATCAATAGTTAACTTCGAAGTACAAACAGATGAACTGAAAAGATGAAGAGATAAGGTAAAGAGATCAAATTAATGCTGATGCAAAAATGATAATTTGTCCTTCTCTTTAGATACCTGATAAAGTCTCCATCTGAAGGTCATTGTTATCCCAACAGAAAACGGCAGAAACACTGGGACTGCACACGGTCAGCAACAATACACCATTGTGGAGATTTGTTATTTGCTGCTCAGCAATTGCTGTCTCAAGCTCTTCAATCTGAGAATATGAAAGACCATGACCAAATCTTTTCAAGAGAGTTACCAGTTCGGCATTCCCTGTGAGGCTTTTGACTGTCATGGGTAATAGCAAATGCTTGGGAGTCTTTGTGCAACCCCGGGAAACACAGTGAATTAGATCCTGTCCTAGTGAAAGAATCCAGCGATGAACATGATAGGGTAGATTTGTAACCCATTCAGTTCTAAATTTGGTATCTGAGGTAAGAATCTAAGCCAGCATATTGTACAACATATCAGACACTAAAGCAGCATCAGATTGTAGCTTGTCAACCTTTGGTGGCCATGAAAGAACTGGCTTCACGTCCAGAAGAAGGTTTCGCAGTCCTTTTGAAGCGTGATAAACCTGATGTGGAACGTCCTTCCTGGCTCTTGGGTCTTGTTCATCAATCTCCTCCGCTCCAGACTCTAACCCACCATCTGTCATATCTAATTGCGAAACCAAAGACTCGACAATTTCTCCCTTCTCGACATTGGCGCTATAGACAAGCTCCGGCTGGCTAGGATCAGAAGGCTTATGAAAGTCTAACTGTTTTCCAAATGCAAAAGCCTTCCTCGTTTAGGTGTGAAATAAATTTTCCAACAAGTTCTGTCATGTTGAGGATTCTTGTTTTAATAATGACTTCACTCTGAAGATGATGACACAATTTGCCGAATGCTTTGCTGTAGCCTCGAGATTCTTTATCTTCAGTGGCACAGTTTTGAGCTTCAAGCTTTGTTAGTGTCTCAAGGCGAACATAATTCTTGTAGCACGATCTGTGGTATTTAATCTCGTGAGAAATGCAATCCTGTCCTTTTATCTGCAGTAGTACACGATTGTCGCCCCTTATCTCAGCTGCTCTGAGGAGGGATGCACTGCCATACTTGCTGATATTCTGGGCTAGAGATTCCCTTGACCTCACTCCCTTTCCAAGTTTACTTTTCTCCACTTGGCAAACGATGCCTGTATCAATATCAAATCTCTGAACATGAGATCTAAGGAAGCGTTTTGCTGGTGGCTCTTTACTTGGTTAGTCTACAGTGATTTCTTGATCGGCAGATGCAGGCGCGGCGTTGTTAGCAGTCCCTTTGATCCTAGATATGTTGCCTACATTAGTATAACTCTGGTAACATTGCCTGTGGTACCCTCCTTTGGGTCCCCCTCTCCAGTGGTTCATCATTGTAAGCCAGATGTGGTCATTCTCAAAGAGCAGTTCTCAAACTTCTCCCAGCTTTTCTCCATAAACAAGGTTAATTTCCCACCACTTTCTGCCACATGACAAAGGCACTTTTTCCAGTTGGGCTGCAAGTTCAAACTGGCTGAACGTTTCCTACAAGTTGGCTTGATCTCTGTCATCTGTTACTCGTTAGGCAGTAAGAATTATCGTCATTATCGGCTCAGAACTTACAGATCTTTTTGAAGAGCATTCATATGAAGACAAAGTTAACTTCTTGTGTAAGGTTTTGAATAACGAGGAACTGACATTTGGAATGAAAGCAAAACGTTTGACAATCGTAACGTAATTAGTTTCCCACAAAAAATGCAATTAAAGAAGCAAATCCGTTTTAGCTGATTTGATACTGACAGATCGTCAAGTGAAGTAAAGCCTGTTAAACCGCTTCCTCTAAGACCACTTTTGGATTAAAAGACTTTCAACTTAAATTCATTATTTTACGTGGTTTGTGGTAAACATTTGCATTCCAAAAAAGGTTTAAAACGTCGTTTTGTAAGCTATATGTTGAGTTTTGTAGTCCAAGATGGCCGATTCTTCTAAATGCTAAGCATCATGGGATTAGCAATCGCACTATGCATTGTGGGTTACATACCAAAGGATCTCGGGAATAGCACATTTCATTAAAATTATAGGCTGGAGAAGTTCTTTCAAACAGAAAAAAAATCTTAATTAAATATTTTAAAAAGAAAGAAAAATGAAAATAACCTTAATTTAATAAAGATATTAGGATAAATAAGGATATCACAGAGACATTTTTAAGACCTTGATGCATCTTTGGGACATCTTGAATAAGTTAAATATGCTTTTTCAAGAAATCGAACTTGAGTTAAATATATAGAATATCATTTTGTATTCGAAAAACCACATATTTTCATAACCAAGCAATATTTGACTGGTGCCTGTTGCCATGGAAACCACAGGATCGATAACACATTTGGGTAGCTTATGATACAACAACTATATCTTGTAAATTTGAACCAATTTGGTTGATGTTTGTTAGAGGTATGGACCATTTTTCTTCTCACCACGACTATAGTAAGCAAATTCTCCCCTAACCCCACCCCCCGTGGAAACACCCCAATATCTCATTATAGCACATGTTAACGGTTTGAAAACAAGTAGATTTTATAAATATAGGTGATAAGCTTTAATTTGATACCAAATTCACTGTCTCCTGGGGGGTGCTACGAAACTCAATTTCTAGACCTCTTTTGAGATTTGGCTCATGAACTAGTAAAGTATTTACTGGAGGAATATTCACCTCCGAGAGGATGTCTATCCAGTTTTATGTTAAAATCCAGGGTATTAGTATCTGGTGAGGAAGGCGTTGTTTTCCTATTTCCAAACTAGTACTGACACAAGGTCCACACCATAGGAATGGAAATCTGCAGACATCTTTTGGATTGACAATGTTTTGAGAAGAACCATAAAAAAGTAGCTTTTTTGCCACACTAGTGCATTAGAAGCAAACAAAATTTTGTATACATGGACATACTTTAAAATCAGCATAGTTACATAATAAATTAAATAAGAGCCCCTTTTGACCACACATGTTCGCTTATGATGGCAGGATGCTGGCTTTGTTCTTTTTTCATGTTTATGGCTGGGAAAAATTTTCTGACAAGATGGTGTTCACAATTAAAGTGATGTGAATAACTTAAATGTGGTCACTCTTTTAGGCTCCTTGCTGTGACCTGTGAACGCTCATAGCTTCTTTCCCATGAGTTCTACACCTGAACTCAAGTTGCTGGGATCATTAAATTCGATAAATATTGAAGCTTTATCCTCAATTACGCTGCTGTTGATGGTAGTGATGCTGTAGGGGCTTCTGGTGTTGCTGAACTGCTGTTGTTTCTGCTGTCGCTGTAGCACTCATTCAAAGACGAAGATGGAGATGAGAGTGCTAAAGGAGGTTTGTGAGACAGAAATGAACTTTGATATTCATTTTCTTCTAGTTCTTAAATCTTGTTGTGAAGCTTGGTTACTTTTGAATGACGTTTTTGCAATTCCCCATGATCATTTGATGGGAGGCATCTGCACCCAAACTAAAACAGAGAAACCAACCCCTTGTTGATCCCTGAATCCAAATGACATCTTATGAAATCTTAATAGGTGTAGGCAGAGTGGGAATTTTGGTCATTAAGGAAAAAGGGTTTTGCAGGTTGATGGTAGTTCACAGTAATAAATGCTTCTTTCACTGAAGTGCTAAATGACCAGGTAAGTGACAGTAATTGAGGTAAAACCCTACAAATTAAATGGAAGAGACTGCAAACCATTATGCCTGCCTTGGGACATAACAGCATGGTGGAATCAGAAGGAACTAATGAAATTCTGCCATGTGCTTATTTATGGGATGAGAATAGGAATAAAATTTGAATTACTACACTTCACTAAGCATTTAAGTCAATTCTAGTCAGAGTTTTCTCTGTGAACTGTCATGTTTCACCATGATGAATGGTAAGAAGCAGCTGTCTCACTCTAGAAGTTTCAATTGTTGACTTGCAAAGGTGATAGACGTCCCTATGCACTTGGATGTCATGTCAGAGGTGTCTTGCTAACCAGTCTACTTCTATTCTTTGAGAGAGAGTACTTGAGAAGTGGTTGCAGTATACTTTCTGCATTTGGTAACAGGTATATTTGTGGAGTTTGACAGAAGTAGGTCACTCCATGGGAAATTTCCATCAGGAATCCTGTGATTGCACCTGCTCTCATGACTGTCTGTTTTACTCTGCAAATATTCACAGATTTTCAACTGGAATACCCACAGCTTTCCTTGTCCTGTTGGTATCATTGATGTAGTATTTTACCTCACATGTCAAAGTTACAGTTATAAATCATGAATCTCAAACATTATGAATCTGTTTTAGAATCAAGATGATTAAAACCTAAATTAAATTTGTTCGATCAATATTTTACAAATTCATATGATCAGAAATGCTTTCTTTGGTATTAAAAAGTAAGAAAATAAAATAGAAACTTGTTCTATCAAATGGTCCAAAAACTTGTTAGCATCAAAAGAACATGTCAGAAATTAGCAGGAGGTGAAGGGGGGGGGGGGGGAAACAGAGGGGGGGTCACAACTTTTTGAGCCTCAGAAAAGGGAGGGGTCATGAAAAATGGGCAGTTAAAAGGGGGAGGGTCATGCAAATATATGCCCGTGATCATGTAGAGGTTCACCCACAGAAGAAAAAGGAAGTTCTTTATTTGGCAAAAAAAAGAGAAAAATACAACGGTTTACGGAACGTTATGGATATAAACTGTGAAGTACTATAGCAAGAATTTAACAAACATGTACTTTTCATTTATAACAATGCTATATAGTCTTATTGAAATTATGAATAATGTTGTTATTAATAATGTTAGTAGAGTTCTGGCTATCCTATTCATCACTGTCATCACTTTTCAAAGGCATATTGGATATATGGCCTTTGTGTTTTGAGGAGCCCACTTATTCCTTCATAATGAAGAGATAATGGGCCAATAGGCTCTGTAACATCATGCGACTCTTGCTGAGGTGCAATGGTTTCATCAACTCTTTTGCAGTTAGCTTCCATTCTTGTTGCCCTAGCTTTCTTTGCTTTCCATTTATTTTGTTTTTGTTTCCTTTTTTTACTTGTTGGCTTGGAATACTGCACCTTAAAGAGCCTGGAACATTTTTCTTTCAATTCTGTAAGGCTGTTGTTAATATCACGTACTCTTGTTTGGAGAATGGTGATTTTGCCAATCTGTTGTACAAATAACTTATGTATCTTACGCTGTAGATCCTAACAAGAACTTGTCATCGAAAAGAAAGCGAGGAAATTACAACCATTACTCTCCCGAATTGCGTGCACAAATCGGTAAATATGCTAGCGAAAACGGAAATCTAAGAGCCCTGAATCACTTTAAAGCACAGCTACCAAACCTTAAAGAGAGTACGGTGAGAACCTTCAAACAAGCATATCAGAAGAAACTGAAGGAAATGAAGAGACAAGGAATACAAGAAAGCGTGACTTCTATTCCACACGACACCCGAGGCCACCCGCCGCTCCTACTTGATCTTGACCAGAAACTGATATTACTTTTGAAGAGCATACGAAACAGAGGTGGTGTTGTTAATTTCAATGTTGTCAAAGCCTCAGCCTTGGCATTAATAAAGAGCAATCCCGCGAAAGACTTCAGGGGATTTGAGCCAACCTCGACCTGGGTGAAATCAATTTATCGACGGTGTAACTTCTCCAGGCGAGCTGGAACCACAACAAGACCCCCTGTTCCTTTAGGGATCTATGAAGAGTGCAAATTAACATTTTTAACTGACATCAAGAGTTGCATTGCAGTGCACAGTATTCCTCTGCAGCTTGTTCGTAACGCCGATCAGACACCTTCATCGTACGTCTCCGTTGGAAAAACGACAATGGCAGCCCGCAATTCCTCTTCTGTGCCAATCAAAGGTCTTACAGACAAAAGAAACATTACTCTCACATTTGTTATCTCTTTAAACGGCGACTTCCTGCCTATGCAAATAATTTATCAAGGGAAGACCAAAGCAAGTCAACCGAGAGGCTTTGACTTTCCACGCGGGTTCGTAGTAACGCAGAATCCCAAACACTACTCGAACAAACTGGAAACTCTCAATCTACTCGACAACATCATTCAACCATACGTTGTCCTAAAGCGAAAAGAACTGAATTTGCCAGCCACACAGAAGGCATTGTTGATTTGGGACGTATTTAAAGGCCAGAAGACAGCCAAGGTTTTATCTAAACTGGCAGCAATGAACATTGAAGTGGTTAGTGTGCCAGCAAATATGACCCATTTCTTCCAACCCCTTGATTTGACTGTCAACAGAGAAGCAAAGAAGTTCATGAAAGACCAATTTACGGCTTGGTACTCGGCACAAATTCACACTCAACTGGATTCAGGGGTGGCTCTCGATGATGTTGATGTTGACATGCGCCTCTCGGTTTTAAAACGAATTCACGCAACATGGCTTGTGAGCATGTTTAATCATCTCTCTTCCTCTGAAGGCAGGATATCAATTGCCAAAGGATGGAAGAAGGCGGGCATCAGTGAAGTCATTGATGGGAAGGAACTTCCACCGGAAGATCCCTTTGAAGATTTGTAATGAACACCATCAGATGAAACATTTATTTAGTATCACATGGGCAAAATACCCAAAAGACATTAGATATAAACAAAAGCCATCGTAACGAATGATATTTAATGCATGCATTTTTATCGTTAAACTCGTATTAAACTCTAATAATAAGTTTTTCTTCAAGTACGAACAGCATTTCGCTTAGTGCCTTAAGTGCACAATATTTTGTTGGCCAAAAAACTTCCGTCACCTTATGAACGTTGCCGCGAACCACTGAAACAATGCGTTTTCACGTTGTAATTTTCACATTTATTTTTAACGTTAATTTTCAAATATGTGTTTTGTTGTGTTCCAGTTATCTAGAAACTTTAAACAGTTCAGACCTTTGGAAAAATAAAATAAAGTTGAGAACGCTTCAATCGCGAAATTTAATGCCCTTTTTTCATATTTGCCTATTGAAATCGCGTAAAATAAAACCCCGCGAAATATTGCCTCGCCAAAATCGCGAAATTAAATACCCGCGAAATTAAGTACCAATAAGGTATCAGTGTCGAAACGAAATACAAAACGAGCTTAAAATTACCAAACTTGTGTAGATCTTCAACTTGTACATCTGCTAAATGGTCAAATTTGTACACCCCGAACCTTTTAAATAATGCCTCAAACTTCGCCAAGTCCGCAAACTTCAAAAAAGTAGATATCAACTGATCATTTGAACTCACACATTCACTACCTTCACAAAGTTGACTCGCCATAATGGCTGAAAGAGACTGAAATTTCTGAGCAATCAGGCATTTTGTACAGCAGAGTGATACACTAAGTCTCGCATACATGATCTACCTACTCTGTCACTGACCTAATAAAGTGTGGGCTCAAACAAAAATGGCGGACCAGCTTACAGGTAGTGTAGATGTGGACTGTAAGCTCAAAAATGATAAAGAAAAGTTAAATTTCTCTGAGCAAAGGAGTAAAATCAGGTTAGAGTCTACTTTGACAGAAAATCTTAGGAAATCATTGCAGTCGTGCAAAGCTAGTGAGAACCAGGAAAAGCTCGAAGGACTTGCTGTGTTTTTTAGAAAAAACACTGTCAAAACTCGAATTTTGGAAGGTTTGTTGTACATTCTTAGACAGCTTTTGGCATCGTATGATGGATCTAAAGCATTTGGATATCTCCGGTTTAATGACGCCTATGGTATATTTTGTGGTTTCATGGAAAGAGAAGTAGAGGATAAGGAATTTCGAAATCACCTTTTGCATGAGGAATATGGACTGTGTGTTTATGTGATAAAAGTGCTTGATAATAGCTACATTATTCTGCAAAATGATACTGTAGCTATAGGCAAGTTTCTCTTGGAACTTGACCAACTTCTGTCAAAAGATAAGGCGGATAACTTTTCAAGATTTGATTTGAATGTGGAGTCATTAAAGAGAGTATTACAGTCTATGGATACAGAATATGAAAAATCTGTTTTGAAAGCCATGATTTTTGCTACAGCTTCAAGGAAGAAGGTTCAAGAACTAGGCATTAAGCCAGACAATGCTGTTAAGTTGCTCAATAAAGTTGTAACTGCATCAACTGATTGTGAAAGAGCTAATGAAGCAGCAGAGGACATTCTAAAACTACGAGATGGAGAGAAATTAAAAGTAATTGATGAAAAGATAACAGCTATTGACAAAATCCTAAGCAGAAGAGAAAGCTTGATTTCTGAAAGGAAAAAAGCGGATCTCATTGCAGAAAAGTCAAGCCTTGAAGACAGAAAAGAAGGCATACAGAAAGACCTGCAACAAAGTGACCCTCAGAGTCTTAGAAGACTGCAACAAAGGAAGCGAAGATTAGCCAAAACACTTATCGATAAGAACAGAGTGAAAAGACGAAAACTCGGTGCAGGGGCAAAGAAGTCATTGGATACTGAAGATGAAGAATTCATAGCACGTTCTATAGAAGAAACAAGCACAGCACATGGTAGACGTCATGATACTGTACTTTACAGCCATCATCACGTTAAGAAGTGCCACTTTTTGTCATTAGCTAACTATAACTTACACAGGCGTGGTAAAAAGCTGATCAAATCGGCTACAACTGTACTTAACAGAAGTAGACCAAAAAATATAAATTCCAGGGCAGCAAAGGCACATCGTGGGAAGTCTCTATTTTGTTCCAAAAAGCCCCCTAAGACTGAAACTGAACTAGGTCTAGCAACCCATCATCAAAGGGCACATATTCGCAATTGTAAGCTTGACATGTTCAAAGAAGAGAATAGGGCTAGAAGTCTAATGATCAGTTTTGATGACAAAAATTAATAGCTGGACTCACATGAACAGGATTCACAGGGCACCACACGATTCAGGACAAAACGAAGCGGAACGCTGCTATAGGTGAAGCTTTGGTTGATGGCAGAGCATTACACTGGGAATACTTTCAACCAACCGATCTCATTAATGAAGAAGAACTGAAAACACTCACAGTTGAAGAAATGAAAGAGCTAGAGGCAGAAGTAGTGGAGCGTAATGCATGGAGAGTTGCCCAGGATGTTGTGTCAAGAATCGATGGCGAGCCTGGACCAGCTGGTGACTGTATGAAGGCCTTTGTTACCAATCGTAAAGAACAGCAGTTCTTTTTCAATACCGAATACATTCAGCAATAGAATGCTGCAAAGTCGGAGACGAGAAAAGTAAAAGTCCCAGGACACAACTATTTCAAAAAATTAGATGACCTCATAGAATCCTGTATGATTACTGGAGAAATGTTTCACGAGTACTGTGAAAATGAGTCAGTGGATCCCACCCCTCGTCCAGTTCCAGACATCAACAAACTTCCAAAGTATCACTATCTGCCTGTTTCAGAAATACCCATCACAAATACAGACGACGGTAAAAGAAGAGAAGTGGATGATTATCACCCTAGAGCACGTTTAAAGCAAGCCCACAAAAAGAATGAAATCAATATCGAGGATAGTGCAAGTGTTCAGACCTTTAGCAACAGATACATTGTTGAAGAAAGTCTTGTGAGAAAATACCTAGCACATTTAAATTATTTAGAGATGATGAGTGGGAAGAGAAAAATGGAAAAGAAAAACAAGAATTTGAAAGAGAACACAATGTCTTATGAGGAATTTGACTGGATGGAAATGCTGAATAGTGGAACACTAGCGAAACAGCGTGTATGTGTTCTGGACAAATACATCGATAAACATAATTTGCTTGCAGTGAAGGATAAAAACAAGCCACAGAAAGTCAATGCTATTATGGATCACTTACGGTCATTTGCTGAGAGCACAAAAACAAACAAACAATGCTCCCTCAGTGTGGAAGAGGTGGATGATCATGATGAATGTGAGGTAGATGAAGGGGATGAGGCATTACCCACTTGTTCTAGTGATGAAGACTTTGTATTGGGAGAAATAGGAGAGTCGAGTGATAGTCGGACTCTTAATGCTGTCATCCAAAATGTATGTATGTATGTAGCATGACAAAGAACAGATTAGAAATATATTTTGAGTTTTCATAATACTGACGCACCCTAGTGTATTGCAAGAACTAGATTTTATCATTTATACAAGAGGGGGAGGGTCATGATATTTTAGGCCAAGCTCAAGGGGAAGGTTAGCAAATTTCACTCCCATTGCAGGGATGGGTCACCTAATTTCTGAACCCAAATTTAAAATTCCCACCCCCCCCCCCTGCTAATTTCTGACAAGTCCCTAATGATAAACACTTTTAAGATGTCATAAAATGTTCCCAATGTGTTTGTTAGAATTGTTTATCACTAGGTGTAGGAAGTTGTTAAAAATTCCAAGGAGAAAGAGGGCAAGGATAAAAGCCAAAATTTTTAAACTGAGAGAAGTATGGACTTAAAACTGCATTTTTCAGAGTATGCGAGGTTGAAACCAATAAACCTACTGTGAGTATAATAATATCCTATCTGAATTCTCAAACTCGTTAATAATTCACAAGATCAACACCCAATGAAAGATGTCCAATTTGGTCAGGTGCATGAGTTTTGATACCCAATGAAACACCAGATGAAAACACAACATGATCTAATATCAAAAGCAAATGAATTCATGGTCAACATCTTTAACTTAACAGTTCATAGAAGTTTGCAGTTCATAGTCTTTCAGGTATTTAGGTTGCTTAACCACCTGACCTAACCAGGTACGAATTTCTGCTGGTGGACCATGATCTGTACTTGCTCCTGGTCTACAAGGTATGCTTTGGATGCCAGTTGGAGTGGGAAGAGTGGCTTTCTGAAGTTGTGCTATCTGTTGCGTCAGTCCCTTTGTTCATTGCTTGTGAAACTCATGCGAAGATGATGTTGATTTCTTTGGTAGAATTTACCATTAGGTGTCTGAACAATGTACGACCTTGGTGTGTGATGCTTGTTTACAACTGTAGCTTGGATCCATTCATTCTCATGATGCATTGACACCTTCTCACCTGCAGTTAAAGGGGGTAACTCTTTCCCACTCTGTTGGTCTAATAGGACTTCTCTCACTCCTTTCTCTTTTGAAAGTGCTGCTGAATTTCTTGAGATCGTTGGGGTTAAAGCAAATCAACCTTTGTTGGTAGCGAACTTTTTAATCTTCAACCCATGAACAGCTGAGCAGGCGAAAGGTTCATACCATCCAACAGAGTGTTTCTATAGTTCAGCAATCCTTTGTAAGGTGATCCCAGTGCCATGGAACATTCTTCTCTAATAATTCTCTTAATGGTGCACTTTCAGTGGCCATGTTTGGCATGAACTTTCCCAGATACTGGATAAATCCGAGGAATTTTTTCAGTTCCTTAGCATTCTTGGGGGGTTTCATTTTTTTTGCAGCCCTTATCTTTCCTGGATCTGGTTTTAAACCATCTTTACTAAGGACATGGCCAACATAGGGAACTTCTTCTTGCTTAATTTTGCATTTCTTTGCATTGAACTTGAGATTGACTTCTCTTGCTCTTGTTAACACTTGTTTTAGTCTTGCATCATGTTCTTCATCATCTTTACCCCATATTAGGTCGTCAACAATCACTTACACCTTCCATATCTGCAAACAGCTCTGACATGTGATTCTGAAACACTTCAATGGCTGATTTTATTCCAAAAGGTAACCTTGTGAACCGGTGTCTTCCAAATGGTGTATTAAATGTGCAAAGCTTTGGGTTAGCTTCATCTAATTTCACTTGCCAATATCCTGAGGTGGCATCAAGGAAAACACTTTTGCTTGAGGCATATCAGCAACAACCTCTTGTATAGTAGTCATTAGAAAGTGTTCCCTCCTGATTGCTTCATTTAAATCTTGCGGGTGAATGCATATGTGAAGCTTGTTGGGTTTTACAACTGCTACAATGCTATTTACCCCATCAGTAGGCGCTTTCTGCTTAACTACTACTTCTGCCTTCTCTATCTGATCAAGCTCTTCTTTGATTTTCTCTTTGAGGGAAACAGGCACTTTTCATGGTGGATGTACCACAGGGGAAATGTTTGAATCAACTTTGATTGTGTTCACCTGGAAGGCATCCCAGGCCTTGAAATAGATCTGAGTATTGCTCATACATATTTTGAGCCATTCCCTCAGGACACGTCGAGAGACTCTGTTGCTGAAGTAGTTGCACTCGGACAAGAAGACCAAGGTCTTTGCAAGTTTGGGCACGAAGTACCGTAGGAGCTTCCATTTCAACTACATGGAAATTTACTTGAAAAGTGTTGCCTTTACATTCACAAGGCAATGTCAATACTCCTTTGGTAGGAATTTGATGGCCTGAATAGGATTTCAGTTTGACTTGAGTCTTCTTGCAGGGGTAGCGAGAAGCAGAATCTTGCAGAACTCTAGTAGAGATGACATTGACTTTAGCACCAGTATCTAGTTGGACCTTTACAACTTTGTCTTCTATCTTAAGGTTTGCACAACATTCACTTGTGTCTACAGAATTAACTGAGGTGATGCACCCAATAAAGAACTCATCATCACTACAGTCATCTACACAGTTCACTCCTTGCTTATCTGGGTTTTTCGACTGGCAACAAATGGCAAAATGGTTCAACTTGTGACATTTTGAGCACTTCTTTGAACACTTCTTGTTGGTCCTCAATCCAATACAACTTATTGGAAGTTAAACATACAGAAAAGTAAACGATATTTAGTAAAAAAACACTGGTGAACATTGGTGAACATCAAACAGAAGCTTAAACATTGGTGAACATTGGTAAACATCACCAATGACTATAACAGCTTAAGACGCGAACGAGTTATTGTGCGACAACAACACCGTAAAAACTCATCATGTCAATCGCTCAGATTTTTTAAAGAAACCTTGGCTTTCTAGACAAGATCTTTAGTAAAAAGCAATTCTTTTTATTTGCAGCAAAGTTTATAAGGATCTCAAGGCAAATAAAGGAAACATCGGCAATGACTATATTCGCTTCAGACACAAACGAGTTATTGTGTGACAACAACACCGTTTGTGCATTGACTTTTTACCAAGGGACTTGACTTAAATAAATAAGACTGATTGACATGAGATCCTTATAAACTTTGTTGCAAATAAAAAGAATTACTTTTTACTAAAGATCTTATCTAGAAAGCCAAGTTTTCTTAAAAAATCTGACCGATTTTTATGATGAGTCTTTACAGTGCTGTTGTCACGCAATAACTCGTTTGTGTCTGAAGCTTCTGTTTGACGTTCACCAATGTTCACCAGTGGTTTTTTTACTACATATCGTTTACTTTTCTGTATGTTTAACTTCTAATAAGTTGTATTGGATTGAGGACCAACTCGCCAACGTCTCTACTCGACTTTATATGTCGGCAAGTTGACTGGATACCGGCATTACCCGGGTGAAACCAACTCGCTGAGGAAGTCGGGAGGGGCATTTGAATAGGAGAGCTATAACTACACTTGGAGGGGTAAATGGGTTATTCTGGGTCTTTGGAGCAAAATGTGAACAAAGTGACCGGTGATTTGCATTCTGAAGTCAGTGAATTAAATATTCACTTCGACACCTCTCACCGAGCCATCAACTGCATTATTGTTATACATAGTCCATTGTTGCCAACACAAAAGGGCCATTCACCAATGCAAACTCTTTGCCATGCTAATGTGCAAGCTGTGAAGTCCAAAACTGGTTGTTTACAGTAATACCTCAGCTCCACTTATATGGATATATTTGCGCCCACTGAAACCTGGTTAATGGAGAAGGATACTGCAGCAAAACTTGAGATTTATTCCCTGGAATCTCATTCATTCATCCAGCAAGATCGGAATGGGAGGCATGGTGGTGGAACTGGA